ATGACCTGCCAGGTGCAACCAACAAAAGGAATGGAGTTACACACACACTTCAGCGTCTTCTGCACTTCAGGGAAAGAGGTATCTCCTGTCTCATACAGTAAACACACACATGCATACACAAATACAGATGCATGCAGATGGGTATTGGGTGTAAAGGGCCTTTATATGTGAGTCATTTCCAAGTGACTGTTTCGTATAGGGGAAAGCAAATTAGATTATCCATTAACAGGAGAACGTTTACCTTTCAATTGATAGTTTGATTAAGGGAGCTTGAATGGTTTCCTAACTCAGAAAAAACAACATGTCAGTAGGTGATTTTGATATTCAGACAAGGGAATCAAAAAAAAGAAAAACTTTTTTCTTCTTTGATATTTGAGTTCAATCAATAATTCTTGGCTACCTCGATACGATTTTTCCCGTTTACTGGGAAAATGTAAGTTTTTATGAACAGCAAATCCCTAAAATAAACAGGGACTCTCTGTTTACTCTCAGTCTGTCATATTTTATTAACATAAAGCATGTGTGTGTGTGTGTGTGTGTGTGTGTGTGTGTGCTGAAGGACTTGGTGTACAAGTACAGCATCGTTGTAGGAGACAGGCCTCCCAGGATGCTGTATCAGGGGAGAGACTTCCAGTACTACTTCAGCCTTCCTTCTGGGGACCCCAGTGATGACTATAAAGGTGAATACACACACAGATTCATAACTTTTATAATACACAAGCATACATCGTCATGACAACTCACTGCAGAGATTCCTTTTTTCATTCACTAAGGGGTTGATTGTTTTGTTCCTGTAGTAACTATTTATACAGAGATCAGAAGCAGCACGTATGGAGCGGCCACGAAACCCTGCCCTGTCACCGTCCGAGTCCAACCTAGCTTCTTCAGAGATACTTCTTCTTCCCGTCTTGACCCTGATCTGGAGCTGTAAGAATCACCATGTCATCACATGTTATGTTGCAGGGTTTTGTTAGAGGTGTAAACCACAGTTCAAGGTATAACCGAACAGTACTTCCCTTACCATGGATGAATAATATCATATGTTATAACAACATTAGTGTCATGAAGGCAGTTTTTTCTATATAATAAATTCTATATAATACTGTACAAATATTAGGGATGGAAATCAAGAACTGGTTCCAGGTTGAACAGTGGAGCTTTTGCACGTAAAGAATCCAACCAATAAGCAGAATCGATAATGGCATTGGTATCAATAAAAACTTAATTCCCATGCCTACCTTCTAAGACATTTTTCATAAAGGGTTTATAAATTGTAGCTAATAGCTTTTTAATGGCTATTAAGATATTTACACCCTCACATCAGCTTTTAGTGCTGCCATCATGTCTGGAGTTATACATTTTAAGTTACTGTCTTACTATTCATACTAGGGATGTAATGATACACTCAACTCATGATTCAATACAATTCACGACACTGGGTTGTTGTTTTTTTAAACAAAATGTGAGATTGAAGACAAATAATGACTGAAAAAGATTCATTTATTTATTTTCTCTTATATTTTCTCTATCAAATTATAGAATCCTTTTTTTTCTGAGGTAGGGTATAAACAGTGGAAAACAACAAATATCTCCTTTTCTTTGTAAAAGTCTTCTATGCTTGTTTGACGCCTACTTCAGTTATGTATGAAGGCACAAAGTCAAAAGTAGGCAGTGCCCTCTGCTGTTTAAAAACAGTACCACGATTCATTTTGCATTACTGATTTCAATCTTTGCATGTTTGTATCGGGTTTACGTGTGTTGCGATATGTCTTTACAATCCTATTTCACACACTGTATGGCTGTGTTATTACTATTTCTTTCTTTTCTTTCCAGTTCAGAGTTGGGTCTGAGGAACCTGTCGGCTCTGGTGCAACTTGGGAACAGTGTGGAGGTCCGTAACTACATCAGTCTCCTCTCCGGCATCCTGAACAGACTCAGCCTGGACACAGAGGCCAACACACACGCACAGAGACACACACGCAATGTGCTCATTTGCACAGTGTGTGAGCTCGAGAGCAGAGAACAGGTACACGCACACACACACGCACACACACACATACACACATAAAACTACACTAAACTTAAAGATGAACAGAACCACGCTTTTGACTGCAACAAATCTCCTCTTTGAGTATCTCTCACTCTCTCTGTTCCTGTTTCTAAGTCACACCGTTCGATTTCAACACATTTTACACCTTGTACAAAATTTTGATGAGATATTATTGAATCCTAGGCACCTATGGTGGACAACATCTGTATTCTTAAAGAACTTATACAAGTTACAAGTCAGGTAGGTGGAAGATTGTCCTCTTTTCATCCTTTCATTAAGCATGAGATACTTGATAGACGCATGTTGAAAGACGAAATCTCTCACATTATTTATTTTAGGTGACATTAGCGAGTGCAAGACGAGTGGCACTTCACGTTCAGGCCATCTCAAAGCAGTTCTTCACGTCCAGTGCTCCAGTCTGGTACCATCTGGACCGGGAGACGCTCAACACCCTGGTCTCCCTGCTCTCATACAGCCTACAAGCTTCCCTCACTAGTGATGACTTTGCACCAGAGATGTCAGACAATGCTGACATTAAAGAGGCATTTGAATCAGACTCACATGAGGAAAATATCAGAAATTCCCCCTCTAATGGCTGCATACCAGACTCATCCATTGGCATTCACATCCAAAGAGGAGGATCGATTTCAACAAAGCAGGCGGTGCAGCTTGTAGCAGATATTCTGCAGGCTGCTTCAGACTTGATGCTGGTGAGAAAAAACAAACATGTTCCTATGCGTGTCATCTACTCACAAACTAACATGTTTTCCTCATTTATCTCACTATACTATTTTCAGAAGTACATCTTGTTGCACAAGGTCCAGGACCACAGAGTCAACACCGCTCTTATCGCCTTGTATGCCACATACCAAAACCGGACCTCCACAGTCATCAGCAGTGGCTCAACCACCTTCGTCATGCCTGCCTCTCTGATCCAGCATCTGTTTGTTCATCGCAGTGGAGAGACTGAGAGTAGACCGCATCGACCGTGTGTGATCAGCATGCTGACTGAGCTCACCCACAGCCCTTACACCTGGGCCCACTCTCCTGGAAAGGTAGGACTGGCGCAGTATGATGACACTGAGTGATTAAATGGCAAAGGCATTGATCTCATTTAGCTCTGCTGATTTCCAGATGAGTGGACCAGTGGTCGAGCTGAGTCTGTACGAGTGCAGCACGAGGAGAAAGATCCGTGTTCGCTCCCTTGTTCAGCCAATAAACATCGAGCTGCAACCACCATCAATAAACGTATGTCACTATTTGTTCTCTATTTTCATCTATCGCCACACTGGAGCACAGTGTTAAATGAAAGTCGATGACCATGCAATCACATCCATCCCGCAGAAGAGCTCTGTCGGTGAGTACGTCCTCCTGCGCAGCCAGGTGAACTACCACAGCTTCAACATTACCCAGGAGCACTTGCAGCAGGCCATCCAGCTGAGCGTGGTGTTCACGCCCCTGCCCAACAAGTCGTTTCCCATCATGCTGCTCTTCAGGTAGACTTGCAGTGATTTTGGTTGTTTTATACCCATCCTCATCTGATAGCTAAAAGCAACAATGTCTTCACAATATATTTTAAAATCATTAAAATGTGAAAATACCTTGTAATAGTCTGTTACACCTGCACTAATCAATAAAGAAATGAATAAAAAGAAAAAGAAACAAGAATGTGACACATAACCAAACCAAGATTCTCTGTTGTGGCAGGATGTTTGAGAGGCCGACTCCAAGCATGCACCACCTCCACAGGATTCACCACTGGGAGAGCAATACCACGCGATTAACTCTGCCTTCGTCCTACCTCAGTGGTAAGACATTTCTTGGTCCGATCTATGGGTTTTGACCCTCCTGGTCTTTCCATTATTTAAATTACTGGTCAATCTATAAAGTACCTATAAATTTAATCATCCATCAATGTGTAAAACAGAACTAGAAAAGCTATGTGTCCAAAGTCAGTCATCAGTCACATAATTACCTGAAATTTAAGTAATACATTTATTTATTGATTTATTTACCTTTCACCTTATAGTGACATGTAGGCCCGCGCCACATTATTTCAGCATTATATCTTCTCATATATTATCTAGCTGCAGGGGTTGGTCACCTGGCTCTGCTGAATGCTAATTTTGGGAAAGCAGCCAGACACAAAGACCTGAGTGAACAAGTCAGCTACAGTCTCACAGTGGACAGCAGCATGTGTTCATCCTGGGACGGCCACCAGGGGGTCTGGACACACCACGGCTGCAGGACACGGCAAGCAGACACAACTACTGCACTTAACTGCAGGTCAGTCATGGATTAGGTGCCTTAATCATACACACACACACACATGCAAGGAAAAAACTGTACACCGTGATGATTCACATAAATAAATCTCTTGTTGGTGTTGTTGTTTGTCTAAGTTGTCACCAGTTGAGGCCTCTTACTGTGGTGCAGCAGCAGATCCATAGCAGCCATGACACAACCAATCTGGACCCGTTCCTAAGGTGACCTCATTCTCTTTAGATTTGGTAGACATATTCCAGAACAACACAAATAACATAATAATCAACTGGTGATCGATTTCAAAATGTAAAAAATTAGAATGAAAAGAGTGTAACATCCCCCAGTGTCTCCTCTCTCCCTCTCTTCCACCCCAGTGTGTCCAGTGATCTGACCGTGCTGAGTGTGCTGGTGCTGTGTGTGTGCCTGTACATCCCGGCGTTGGTGATGTGTAAGAGAGCTGATGTCGTCTCCGAGGCAAATCGGAGAGTCCACTACCTTTCTGACAACCCCCCGTGTGACCCACATCTCTACGCAGTTACAATCCACACTGGTCCTTGCTCTGCAGCCTGTATGAGTGCAAAGGTAAGGTTGTTTTGTGTTCCTTTAAAGATCCAGTATGTAACATTTAGAAGGTAGAGGAGTTTCTTACTCTAGTTCCTATGTTTTGTTCATGTAACCAGACAAGTTGTATGGATTTGGTTAGCACACACATCTTTAATTGTTTAATGCTGGAACAGAAGGCAGCTGACTGTTGGGGTTTTACAGCATCATTTACACAGCAAAAAGTAGAAATCCACTAAAAGTGGTGCGATTATTGGAATCATCCCAAATACTGGTGTTTAACTTGAGAACCATGTAGATCACGTCTCCCTTTTCCAGTTGTAGAACAAACGCGTTAGACAGGCTGACGTAACCATGTTGATCGTTCACATCGTAACTCTCAGTAATTCTCTTGTCATTGTGATACAGTTTAATACGCAAAACATTTGAAAGCCGTGCATCCCACCCATTGAATCTGAAATAGTAGACTCCTCTGACAGGGGCTGTGAAAATACCTGCAACAAAGGAGAGAATCAGCGAGGGGTCAGAACTGTCTTTTGCTCTTCTCACTATTAAAGTACATCTTCTGTTGGTTCAGTAGGAAATTTGTTTCTAATTGCTTTGGTCAGGCTATATGAGTGTGGCTCTTTGTTTGGTTTTGAGCCTTCCCAAGTCCCTGCATGGTAGACTGATAAATAATAAATAAATAACGCTGTTAATGAAGTCTGTTAAGTAAAAACACGAAACAAACCAAAGCGCTGTGAGATATGTCAATGCGTCCACAACAGAAATAGAATAGAATAAAAATCACTTTTAAACAGAATAAGAAAAGTGACATAATAACTGAAATTATGTAAAAAAGGTTTACCCTAACTCACTTCACAAAACATCATGTATATCCCAGAATAACATCTAAATCCAAATTTGTTTTATGGTCCCATATGAGCAGCATTTCCAATCCAGCTCTTGCATAGTAATAAATAAAGAAAAAACTCTTATTCTTAATGAAAGAGATCTCAAACATGCAATAGCTGCAAAAGACCTTGACTAAAACCCTTTCTCTCTTAATGGAGCACAGGTCATCCACAACTCTTTTCTGCAAAAGGCTATTACAATTTTATTTAAAAAAAGAATCCTGGAACAATTAATATAAAAACAAAAAAATATCAAGAAAACATACTATAATAATAATTCTAAGAAAATCGGTGGGTGTAGGTGAACGAGGTGAGTACCTGTAGTTGGGTTGTAGGCCTGGCCGAAGTTGATGAAGACTTTACTGAATTTAAGTGTGATATCAGTGTCGAAGGGTCCAACTTGTCCCACATCAGTAAGACCGAGCGAGAACGCCACCTTTGGACGGTCTGTGTGAATGTGGATGATGCACGTGAAGAAAATATTTTATATTTGCCTTACTGACTTACTGATATACTGATTTACTACATTACTGAGGCAACTGAACAAGCTGCAAAGCAACAAATTCTACTGGACACTTCAGTGTGTGACTCAAAACACAGCATGTTGTCAATGAAAAGTGCTACTAAAGATGTGTAAGATTTAGGGGGCTATATTTACAGACTATGGCAGAAACTGAATAGAATATGCAGAATTATGTTTTCATGAGTGTATATTCACCTGAAAATAAGAACTGTTATGTCTTTGTGTCCTCAGAATAAGCCTTTTGTATCTACAGATGCAGCAGGTCTTCATCGTAAGGAGTCCGGCATGTTGCACTACAATGTTTCTACAGTAGCTACTAAATCCTACACACTGGTCCTTTAAGTATTTTATCAAAGTCAAAGAATTATAACAATATTCATAGATGTTGATGTCAAAAAGGATCTCCACTGACCATTGCTATGCTTAATGGCAACATGATATCACATTTTGATTTTATAGTGGTGGTTATAATAATGATTTATTTGGCCTACCTGCATTCTCTCTGATGAGCTCTTCCACGTTGTTCTCACTGGAGCTCATTCTGGTTTCTAAAACTGTAAAACACATTTTACATGTTTTATTGTAAAGCCGGTTTATTGTCAGCATGTTTTAACATCTTCTAGGATCTCTATGTAGGCCTACCTGTGCACTTATGTTCACTTGCTGTTACTCTGGATAGAAGATCTGCAATAAAGGGCAAAATGAATAAGCAAGTTAATAGTTGATCAACAGTCAGGCTGCACAGTGAATCGAAATAGAGTCAAAATCGCAATGTGACCAATATCCATATCGCAGCAGCTGCAATGTTTTGATAAAAGTAAAATGTGTGACTAAACAGCACTATAATGAAGTACTGTAGTGCTGCAGAGATGCCTTCAAATCTTGTTCTCCAGATGTAAGAAAACATTTCTGATTGTTAGACACCCCAATGTCAACATCAACATGGTTTTAGATTTAATGAAATTTAAATTAGTGAATTATCATTCCCACTAATCGTGAATAATTCCGTAATTGTAACATCTGTCAAAATAATCGGAATATCATTACTTTTTTTAACATATCTTCCCAATCAACAGCTTTCATATTGAACTTATAAATATGAGCTGATAGTTAATGATCTAGACAAGTGACATCTCTAATACTTCAGATTATGTTTTCACCAACAAGGTTAATTATAAACCTTTAATACTGGATTTAAAGAACAGAAGATTAAAAAGATATTCTGATAGCTAACATATAGACTGTTCTTACCTCATTGATTTTTGTAGCTCACCTGTATTCTCTTTCTTGAGTTCCTCAACCTGGTTTTCACTGGTCCTCATTCTGGCCTTCAAAGCTGTGAAAAAATTTAAAGTCACTATTAAAATATATTTAAAGTAGTCCCTTCTTCAGTCACTTTGAAGATCAGTGTTGAGAAGGTTCAAATATATAACTGAGCTCAGCACTGAATGAGCAAGACCAAGGACATCGTAGGCACGGCTGATGTTCTGATCAAACTACAAAACTGTCTTTTTAAGCAATGAAATATGAAGAAGAAAAAAACCCCACAGCACTACCATCAATCAGTTTACAGTGTGAATCACCTGTATTCTCTTGCTCCAGCTTCTCTATCATGCTCCTGCTGTTTCTCAGCTCCACCTTTTGTTCGATGGCCATGTCTCTCAGCTCCTTCAGCTCAGCCCAGATGTCAGGGGTGATGTTGGTCTGGCAGCTGCTCTGATCATGGGTTGCTTTAACACCCTGAATATCGTCCCCTGCCACCCCTCCAGTCTCACCCTGAGCCCACGTCCAGTGCAGACAGAGCAGATACACCAGAAAAACTGCAGCACTCCTCATTCTGAATTATCACCTGTTTAGACAACAAGATGGAGTCTAAGATGTCCCGCTCAGCTCACGTCTTTATATACTCATAAAATAGGTCACTGAAGAGCTGCATGAGAATTAAGCATATGTCTTTGATAACAAATGTAATAATTAACTCCAAACTCCTGTAACACTGTGCTTTAGTATTTTGAATTATGCTCTTAATATATAAAAACTAATTATTTATAATATATGCTTTCACAATAAATCAAGCAGCAACACCAGAAAAACTGCAGCACTCCTCATTCTGAAATCTGATTCTCAGCTCCCGTCTTTATAGACACATAAAATAGGTCACTGAAGAGCTGCATGAGAATTAAGCATAGGCTATATCTCTGATAAACAATTTAAACATTACCTCCAAACATCCTGTAACACTGAGCTGATTTTAAAGCACACAACAAGTAGGCTATCACCTGTTTACACCGCAAGAAAATAGGTCGAAATAATCATAATAGTGTAGTGTTGTAGTCCAAATATTTATTTTAAAAATACAATTCACAAAACTAAACACACCTACAGGAGGAGAGGACACAAACTATATTTAAAGTCAGAATAACATTCACAGCATCTACCACAAAAAAGTCACTGAAATGCAAACAACACGTAGGAAATACATCATAGTGGGTTTACACGTGAATTCACTGTCGGCACAAAATGGCGGCCGCGCTCGGCACAGTTACTTCGTTGACAACGGCTCGCTCACACGCCCAACTTTTACTCTTTTCTACAGAACTTAACTCTAACTTACTCAAAATGTCGCAATAACATTGTCTTAGCACTCTTTATATTTTATCCAGTTATTACAGACACGTTAAATATTGTTTAATATTCATACCTGAAAATGGGGTGAAATAATCACCAGAGTGACGCAGTGTTGTTTCCTCAACAAGGACTTCCCTCTGATGAGGACAATATTTACATGTCCCCCAGGTAGGCTATGTGGGTGGAGATAGAAGCAAGATGAAAACCCCTCGGTGACACTATTGCTGCTTAAATTTAACAATGAAGAATAAACTAAACAGTTTAAATAAACACCCTTGCAGCTCCTTAACCAGCTTTTAAAACATATTTCAACTGGTTTAAACGGTTTTGTGCATTTTTTCTTTGTGTTATTTATGAATGTACAATATTTTCACATCATTCACAGACACAACACAATCAATTTACCATGCCTTTTTTTTTTCTTCTATATACTATAATAGACTATGAGGGTATTTTCTTAACGTAACACATCTCCCTCAGCTCCCGTCTTTAGGCCTAAACGTAAAACTGAAGAGCTGTATGAGAATCAAGCAGATGTCTGATAGCACATTTAAAATGGGTCCAAACGCACCTGAACACTGAGCTGACTTTGAAGCAAACAAATAGTTAGAATAATGTTCCTTTTAAAGTGATTATTGCTCCAATACAGACTGCATTGCACACTACAGTACAACTTTATTAGGAGTAGTGTGCAGTACAGTAGATTGATCCTTGGAGTAATATTGCACTACTCTATGAGCTCTGGTCACAATGTTTTTAACAGTAAGAGTTAACTTTTTTTAATAAAATATGCAGATGATTCAAAACAATGCAATGAAATACAAACAGACAATATATTTTTAATATTTAAACATTGTATAATTAACTGTGGGTACATAACAGCTGCACTCACAGAGGAAAAAGCAGAAAACCATCAAATGTGGTACGATTATCGATGTCATCCGAAAGACTATATCCTGCTGAGAGAACCAGGTAGATCACATCCCCCTTTTCTAGTTGAAGAACTAATGCATTAGACATAGTGATGTAGCTGTGGCTATCATTGCAATCTGAATTGTACATCATTTTCTTGTCATTCTGAAAGAGGTTAACGCTCATACAAACTGAGCTACGGTGGTCCCACAAGGTGAATCTGAAGTAGTAGGCTCCTGTGACTGGGGCTGTGAAGATACCTGCATCAGAGGAGAAAATCAACGAGGGGTTAAAACTCCCCTCTGTTTAATGGGTAGTTGTTTCTTGATACTTTAGAAGGCCTTAATGTTGGGAAGCAATCTGTAGGAGCTCTAGGCTTTAGGGGAGAGTGGGGTAAGATGAGCAATTTTTCATATTTAGGATCACTACATCAAGGCAATCATAGTTGTGTCGCTAACTAATATATCTGCGTATATTTCCAGATGTTGTGCATCCCTTCAAACAAACAGAATGAGTGTAAACATAACTGTTTCGATAATATAGCATGTCCAAAAAAAGTGGTCTTGTGGCTCAACTTACCCCGTGTATGGGGTAAGTTGAGCATAGGAGCAGGGTAAGTTGAGCCGTCCCCCTAAATATTTGGTCACATGATCAATGTTTTTTACCATTTCCTAGCAACAAGGGGTGGCTCAACTTACCCTTTGGCTCAACTTACCCCACTCTCCCCTACTGCAGACTAGTTTCATTGTAACAAAACAAAGGGGTATTTGTTTTGAAGTTTAACTTAGAAAAGTTGTACCATGAAAAGCTAACAGTTTCTATACATGAGCTTTAGAACATTAATATAGCAGCAAACAACTATTTGCTAAGGCGTCCTGAGCAAAGAATGACGTCACGCTCCCTCTGTGTTGTGTTGTTCCCCGAGCTGCCCTGTGCTTTGTTTACACAGCCTGCACGGTACTGTTGGCTTTGGAGAAGAGCGACTGAAATGGCTGTTTTTATCATCTCCGCTGGTGAATTGAGGATTTATTACGACCAACCCAGAGGTTGTGATTGTTGGAACAGTGAAAAGACTAACAAAGACTGTTTTGGTCAATTTTATTTTGTTTCTGTCTAGTTTTAATTACGTTATGATGATCTGCAAGGGGAAATCTCTGTTTTTATTAATGGAGTCTGGTGGCTAATGATAGTGATATAATGGCTGCTTCTGGTTAAACAAAAAGGATCTTACTCTTTAATAAAAGGGTCCATCTCTGTAAGGATCCTAGCCACTTACAGAATAATAATCTGGGCCTGTCAGTGGCAAAAACAAGCACTTTTATTGGGTGTACATTGGCGGGGGCATTTGTCCAAAAGGATTCAGTTACCGTGTCATGAATATTTTGCAAGATAAAATTACTGGTTTTGTCAATGGAGTCGGGTTGGCCGTAGTGCCCTTTTGGTTTCATCTGAGATGCTGGTGCTCTAATGCGACATCCAGTGGCAGTGAATTTCATAAACATAACCTTTCATACAGTCACATCTTGCCTTCTATAAAGAGCTTTGATGTCAGTGAAGGAGGTGAATACCTGTAGTTGGGTTGTAGGCCTGGCCAATATTGGTGAAGACTTTACTGAATTTCAGTGTGATAGCAGTGTTGAAGGGTCCAACTGATCCTGCGTCAGTAAGACCAAGTGAGAACGCCACCTTTGGACGGTCTGTGTGAATGTAGAAGATGAACAGAGAGAAAACTTCAATGATGTATTAGTCTATGAACAAATATACGTCTTTTTTTTTGGTAAATATTTTCCTCATTGACACAGTTATTTACAGCCATATATTGTAGTGACACTGCAGTCATTTGGATGCTGAATAACATAATTTCTGCCTAATTTAATAACAGTAGTCAGTCAAGTATTAATGTCACTAAGTAGCACTCGGTATGCTCTTTAGTTTACCAGTTCCATCCTCACTGCTAACATAATATGACATTTTGACTTTTAAAAATTATTTATTTAGCTTACCTGCATTCTCTCTCTTGAGCTCCTCCACCTCATTTTCACTGGAGCTCATTCTGGCTTCCAAAACTGTACAAAACAAACATATTTAACATTTTTATAGTAAAATAAAATCTTTGTTTTCATTTTTCGTTAATTACCTTGAAATCCTACCCATGTTCTTATTTTCACTTGCTGTTATTCTAGCCAGAAGATCTGCAATGAAGGGAAAATCGATATGTAGGTTAGCTGATCAACAACCAGAAGTAAAACCCCATTCAAATGTAATTTTTTATGCTGAATCAGAAAAAAAGTATATTATACTATATGCAATTTTTTGTCTTTAAATTATGTTTTTGTAGCTTACCTTCGTTCTCTCTCTTGAGCTCCGCAACTGCTTTTTCACCTGCGTTGATTCTGGTTTCCAAAACTGTACAAAACAAACATATTTAACATTTCTATAGTAAAATAAAATCGTCGTCAGTTCTTGTTTTAATTTTTTGTTAATTACTTTGAAATCCTACCCATGTTCTTATTTTCACTTGCTGTTATTCTAGCCAGAAGATCTGCAATGAAAGGGAAATCAATATGTAGGTTAGCTGATCAACAACCAGAAGTAAAACCTCATTCAAATGTAATTTTGTATGCTCAATCAGAAAAAAAGTGCACTATTCTATATGCAATTTCTACTTTTTAAATTATGTTTTTGTAGCTTACCTTCGTTCTCTCTCTTGAGTTCCGCAACTGCTTTTTCACTGGCGTTCATTCTGGCCTCCAAAACTGTGAACATACTGTATGTTTATAAAGGTTTACTGTGAATTTCACTTTGATAATGGCCTCAATATATTGTTATTATTAATATAACATACAGTTTTTACTTTTTTTATTTATAGCAAACCCGTGTTGTCTCTCTTGAGTTCCTCCACCTTCAATGTTGACCCACCTATGTATGTAGGAGTGTAGATTCCAGTGAGCTTCTAAAGGGTTAATGATTTTGGTAGCTTACCTATATTCTCTCTCTGGAGATCTTTGACCACTTTTTCACTGGCGATCATTCTGGACTCTAAAACTGTGAATACATAGGTTTTTCAGCAAAAGGTTACACTCTACACCTTAAAGATCTATTTATATATAAATCTCGAACTTGATCAAATAGGAAAGCTAACATGAATTAATTTTACGTCTATGTATACATAGCGGATTCTGCCTGCATTCTTGCTTTCACTGTCTGTCAGTCTGGTTTGGATGATTTTAAAACAACAAATTACTCCTCAAAGTAACTAGTGCCATTAATGAACATTGCATTATGTTTTACGTTGCATGTGTCACCTGTATTCTCTTGCTCCAGCTTCTCTATCATGCTCTTGCTGTTCCTCAGCTCCACCTTTTGTTCGATGGCCATGTCTCTCAGCTCCTTCAGCTCAGCCCAGATGTCAGGGGTGATGTTGGTCTGAGTGCCGCTCTGATCATGGGTTGCTTTAACACCCTGAATATCGTCCCCTGCCACCCCTCCAGTCTCACCCTGAGCCCACGTCCAGTGCAGACAGAGCAGATACACCAGAAAAACTGCAGCACTCCTCATTCTGAATTATCACCTGTTTAGACAACAAGATGGAGTCTTAGATGTCCCGCTCAGCTCACGTCTTTATATACTCATAAAATAGGTCACTGAAGAGCTGCATGAGAATTAAGCATATGTCTTTGATAACAAATTTAATAATTAACTCCAAACTCCTGTAACACTGTGCTGAAGTATTTTGAATTATGCTCTTAATATATAAAAACTAATTATTTATAATATATGCTTTCACAATAAATCTAACTGTAAATAACATTGGTGTCTAAACTGTTGAGGGTCTGGGTTGGTTTTCCGGACTTGGTTTACACTAAACTATCTGTACAAAAAGTCCAGTACTAATTTGTCTGGGAAACCATCTCTACATGTTTAACAGGTTTACATGGTGCTGAATGGGGAAGATGGGATCTCACAGACAAGAGAACTACAAGTCCCAGGATGCACCCACTTCAGGAGGAACTCTCAAGACACCTTTATATTCAGGTAAAAATCCAAATATTACATCAACAGACGTAGGGCATACATTTTTTTCCCACATTAAACTGCAACACATTTTACTACAATACTATACATACATAATACTTCCAGTAGCTTTATGACATGACAAGTTTGGTTTACTTATTTTACTCTCTGTTTCTCTGTTTCTGATGCCACAGTGCAGCAGACAGCCTGGGTCCAGTGTTGGGGGTCCACATCTGGCATGACAACTCTGGACCTTCCCCAAACTGGTACCTCAAACAAGTGGAGGTGTCTGAGGTAGAGCCCACCTGTTTGTTAATGTGCTATTTCCTCTGTGCTTGGACTTCCATCAATATGGCTTGTTTGTCTGCTGTTGTTTACAGGTGTAACAAAATATAAAAAAAATATTATATTGTGATATTTGAATGCGCAAAAATATATGTTTGTGTGTTTTAAGCCCCAACCGCTTAATAGCGATGTTGTAAATGTAAACT